AATGGTTCACGATCCAACTACTAATATACTCTTACTACTAATCGATACCAACCTTCTTGAACAATAATACTTACTGAGAAATATTAAACTTAATGAATACTTCCTTCCAATAAGGTTCAGTAAACGGTCTGATAATGATCGGGAAAGCGACTCAGGTTTCAATCTATTGTTTTATAATATTACTTAATATCCTTAATGTTATCTTAACAGAAGATCCTAATGTAGTCAATTACAAAAGGTTATTACAAAGTTATTATAAAGTTGCTATCTTGTTTCAGAGTCAGTTACAGGGCTATTATTCAACTCATAAGTCCATCAAAGTCGGAGTGATCATTCAACTGAAAACAATAGAGTTTGTATTTTGGATATTCAACTCGGTGGCATTTGAATCTGTAACATAATTAAATGTAGCATAGCCTTTGTAATGCGATCGCCGAAAATTTTAATAATATCTGTATAAAATGTTATCTGAAAAATAGGTATAGAAATTTGTTCTTGTTTAAATATGTTGAAATTTACTAACGAAACTATATTTATTCACGATTATGTAAATAAAAAAACAGTCGACATAAAACTGTACCATTCAGCTTTCTATCGACTCTTACTAATGTGGTAAGGGAAGTGAATCTTTCATGCCATTTAGGGGTATTTTGACTAGTGATTTTCAGTTCTCGCATTTTCCACGGATGTCTACATAGCCTAGTCATAGAAATGTTCTTCTGACACTACTAAAAGTACGATTATATTCAAATTTAAGAAACAAAACTAAAATAAAAAAAAATAAAAAGTAGCCTATTTTAGGACTGAGATGCTATAAAATAAGTACTTTCATTTAAGTGTCACATCAATAAATACAATTTCAAAGTTTCAGATTAAATGTACTGTTATGAACCGATAGACCTAATTGCGATAATATGACACCGTTTACAAAAACGAACTTCAAACATACGAAAGAAATTAGCCCGTGAAATGAAGCTTTTAAGCGTCTCTGAAAAACGATGGTCGTAGAGAAATAATGTCACTCGGAACAAGTGACTTGATTAAATTAAAAATACCAACAAAGATATTAATTACACTTAAATTTTTGTTCAAGAATGAGGAAATTACAAAAGATTTTTAATAGGTCTTTTAATTTCTAAATAGGGTAATTTATTTACGTCGCACACTAATTTCAAGCCTTTTAATTTTTAATCCTTTGAAATGGTCGGCTCAGCTCAGATAAATCGAGCAATTTAAATATCTGCAATATCTAAGTTATGCTTAACAAATTCACTTATAATTTAAGACAAGTTGCTTTAGGGATGAAAAGTTGATGGGTATCAAGATACGGACTAATTTAAATTACGATATGTTTATACTAGTTATGACATATCTGTAAATTTTGGGATTTCGTCAGTTATTTCTTATTAGTCACTTAATATGCATACTTCGAAATTTTTCAGAATAACGAGATAATTATTTTATTTACAAAAAAAATCCTCCTTTACATATGTACTTATAAATGAATGAACTCGTATGTGCAAATATGACAAAGTTTATAACAAGGAGTGGAAGTTTTAACGACAAGTTACGTACTTCTAATGAACTGATAACCAATCGAATGAAAGAAATATGTCCAAGAGTTCCAGAGTAAATCTGAAACTGGCATTAGTCCAAAATTTTATATGTTATTCCCAGGGATTGCGGAGTTTTTTGATACAATTCTTCTTATAATATTTATTTTCTGGTTACTTCTTAAGTAGGGTTAAGAACTTTAAAATAAATATGCATATTTGTTTTTTTATAACTGAGGTATCCGTATCGGTTTTATGAACTAAAAGTTACTTCAACTTTGTTCACACCGCTTCACTAACAGGAAAAACAGTGTAACGTTTGTAATGTGCACATTAACGATACTATGAACTTATAAAACTTTCTCCTATGGCGTTGTTAGACTTTCTACCAGCTGGTTAATCAAAAAAATTAACTCGATTTAATTGCTAATAATTTTATATTATTATGTTAAAAATAATTGAAAATTAACTTTATTTACCAATTGAAATTACAGATATTCAATTACTGTTTAATAATAAGTTTGGAGCTCCATTTGATATTGTGGCTTCAGCGGTTAGATAACATTAAATTGCTTTGAAGATTTCGCCTCCGTGCTTACGTTCATAAAATAGTTACGTCTAAATATTTAATGTAGCATTCGTATTCACACAAACCTCCAATTTAATATTAATTTTATCCTAAATATCACACGAACGTCGTCTCTTCTTGTGTTCGAGTACAACAGAAATAACTAATAACAATATTTGTTGTTTGTTATGTATGCTTAATCAGAGAGTAAAATTGCTTTTTTATCTCTTTCATACATGAGAGCACTAATTAATGTTTTACTTGATTGGCCCAAGGCTAGTACGTAATAGGAAACTTCGTGAATGCACCTGTGCATCTTTGAAGAAATTGAACATGAAAATCACGATGCAACAGTAAATTTATTTAAATAAAATATTCTGAGACTACATTCTACCGAAATTAGATATTTATTTCACAGTCGAATGAGTTTAATAATATGGGTTACTTTCAAGTTATAGTAGATGGTGAGTTTGACATTTAGAATTCTAATATATATGTATGTATCTATAAGTAAATTCAATGTATATAAGCCTATATTAATGAGTCCAGTTGGACTTCCTATAAAATAATTTCTTAAGACGTGATAGCAGAAATATTCTAGTTTTCACGGTGGGGTGATGATTCCACAGACAGGAACCTCATACTTTAAAAGATATTTTATCGATACAATATTCCCCCGACGATGTTCGTTCCATTTTTAAGAATAATATAAGTCATAACTAACAAATTGTATATAAAATAAAAAAAAAAACATTTCAAATAATTAAAAATACACACAACGTATGTTTCATGTTCATATATTTTTGCGTTGTATATTATTCCTACATCAGGGTTAGTATGCAAATAAGTGTCACTTGCGCTGTCGAGATGGAGTCAATGAAATTTCTTTAAAAGAACTGACATACGAAGCTTATGTACTATATTGGATTGAAATAAGCGGGTAATAGAACTTTTTTGTCTTTAGCTTATTTTAGATTTCTGCTATAATTATTATTTTTAAAATATTCTCTGATAAAATTAATTTTCATAAATAAGACGCATACATTTTAGATAAATAAATATGCACTTATTATATTGTATTGCAATAAAAATGAAAAGATCACTCGAAGATATATATGTGTGTGTGTGTATATAAACATACCATCAAGTAAGATTTATGTATAGGAAGTATAAAAAGATTTTATTTTGAGTATGAGTAACTAAACACTAATATATAATTAATATAATATACTACATTAGAACAATCTAAATTATTATCATATGAGTCTACAAATAAAATAAGTAGCAAATAATCAGTATCAAACAAAAAAATATTTCTTTTTTTTTTTTTGTTAATACAATTAAGACCACACAATATGCGTATAATATTCCTTAGAGAAATAAGGATATTGCAATATAAAAACACATCGTATCGAGAAGTTAAGATAGAAACTGCACTCAGATTCAAAACAAATAATTACGTTAGCGCGTTTCATAATACAGGAAACGATATTTTGTCGGCAATAGTGATATTAACTTCCAATTTTTCCCCATATAATTTTTACCCATATACCTATCAAAATAAGGCATAGAATAAGATATTAAGAAATTGTATTTATTTTGTTGGGTATTAAATTAGATAATGCTTGACTAAAATTCCACCCGTTGGAAGGCAGAAATGAAGTCGTTAGTGGTGAATGCCCTATTTCAGTATTAACCGATTCGCCCTTTTCTGAAAAAACCCAAATTATAGCTCGAAGGAAACACTAGACGTATCCAAAATGTTCCAATCTCTTGTTTATAAGGCAGGAGGAGATTTCTTCCTTCCGATACGCCTATCTCTTCCTCTGGTTGAGATGAAGGACTGCAACAAAAGGAATGGAGGACCCCTTTGCGTCTGGTTGTCGAATGATAGAAAGAGGACGCGGGAATTAAATCGTGCGATTCCGTGCATACTGTGCAGAGTGCATACTCCAGAACACCGAAAGGGTGGCTTTTTTACGCCTGTGCTCTAGGCTGACGAGATTGGATTGATTTAAGTTGTGGTCACCAATAAATCTTTTCACTCGTGTCTCTAGTGAATCCAAGCAAGTGAGGTGATATTTTTCAGCGTGTTCAAATGTGCAGCAGATATAACTAGACCTGTGCCTTGAATAAATATGAAAGCTGTCCCGGCGTCAAGTACTAAGTAAGGCCCAGAGTTTCTTCTCAGCTTTCTTAGCTCTGCATTCAATGAATCGCCCAAAGTTAAGGGGAGAGGATACGTCAATACCATATATTTGAAGATGCTAAAATTATTTCAAAGATACATTTTGAAAAGTTGGGGTCAAGATGGACGGATTCCACTTAGCGGTGAAAAACACGTTAACAGACATTTTGGTGGCGTTAAATACATATAGCTTGGTTTTTTTGCAATTTATATGATTTATTCGTTATGTTGAATTTTTTTTCATAATTTGATTATAAACATAACAATTTTGAAAAAAATGTATATAGTTTTAAATTTTATATAAATTATTACAGTTTGTAGTCACACTAAGCCTTTACAAATATATAGAGGTTAAAGCAGTAAAACACTTTTGTATATTATGATATAATTTGAATATTTATTTCGTAATGTCACTGGAAACAACATAAGAGCAGGCGGCGGTGTCGCTGTGGACTCGAGAGCGACACCGTCGCAGCTACATAAACTATAAAAAAACAATTTAACATTTCTATCGTATATATAATTTTTTAATTATTTACAATTTGACTAACTTATATTTACACTACGTATATATTTTAAAGTATGTATAACATACAGAAAGACGAAATGTTGTACAAGTAGAAGATTAATATAGTCCATTTTTAAGACTCAAGTAGACTCAATTATACATTATACATTAGCAATTTTTTCGTTAGAATTTTTTATTACGACCTCGCCGGTGAGTACCGAAAAGGATACGGGCAAATGCCTGGCGAAAGTCTGGACTAAATATAGTATAGATAACAGGATTAAGAGTGGAGTTAAAATAGCCGAGCCAAAGGAAAAAACTTGCGAGATAGTCGCTGATCACACATGATTGACAAATCGGCATTACTAAAGCCATTATAAAAAATGGCAGCCAGCAGAAAACAAATGCCCCTGTTATAATTGCAAGTGTTTTAGCTGCTTTTCTTTCCCGTTTTGCTTCGAGGGATTCTTTTTTCTCTCTATGAGAAAGGGCAGGAACGATAGTCCGTTCCTGTTTTGACCCATTTGTAGCGGTCGAAGAAGATTTTTCTGGTGACACAGGAGGAGGTGCTACACCTTTTTCATTAATAGTGAATGCTGTTGTGCGAGGTTCTTCATCTAATGTATCCACCGTTGAAGTGCTTTGTCCTTCTGTCAATAATAGAGCAGCAGCTATCGTTTCTGCTCTAGTTCGTTGATTACATTTCTTTAAATTAAGGAAACGTTTCTTAACAAATCTTCTATCTCTCGCTGACTGGATTGGTCTGCCGGACGGTGGAGCACCATCAGCAGATGTTGGACGCGGGGGAGGAAGGTCTCGTCTTCGTCGTATTCGTCTTCTTGCTGTTTGAAATATTTTCCAATAAAGGATCAAAATGACGGCAAGTGGGACGTAGAAGGTAGAACACGTTGCAAATATCTGGTATGCGAGATCTTGGCTGACGAGGCACTTCTGTTGCTGTGTGATTCTCGCAAGATAGTCAGGATCTTTCCATCCTAATTGTGGAGCTAGAGAAACGACTAAGGCGGCACCCCAAACTAGGAAGATCATTGTGAAAATTCGCCTCTCGTTTCGTATGTGTATGTAGTCTACGTCAGTAACAGCCCAATATCTAAAAATAATATTTTTATATTAGTCATGTTATAACTTCATTATTTGAAGCCACGGGAAAAGGATTAGTATGCTATCAAAATTAATTTACTGTTAACAAGTATCTGGTAATCATAAAACAAGGAATACATTAAATCATTTGATTCGTTGGGACTATTACCTATCAGTAGCTATAGCGACTAGATGAAGTATAGATGCGGAGCTGCACAGTACATCACTGGACGTCCACATATCACACAGTTCCGGACCAAGTATCCAGCCTTGACTAACCTGTTAAAAATGTTAAAATAAAAAGGTATTAAAACGTTATAATATTCAAGTTTCAGTTTATTTTTTTTTGTTCAGAAATATTAGATAAAAAATTACGCTAAAGAAAAATATGTTAAAATTAATATTAAAATTCTGTTAGAACACCTGGAATTTTAAGAAATTTGAAACGGTAGTACCTCATACACGGCTCCCAAAGGCATTACAAGGCAGGCCACCATCAAATCAGCCACAGCCAGTGACGCCACTAGGTAGTTGGCGACGTTTTGTAAGTTTCTTTCTATGATGATAGCTGCTATCACGAATACGTTGCCTGTGAATAAATACCTTAAAATTATTTTATGTCTGTATATATAGAAGATGTCAGATATTCTAATCTATTTCTCATATGATATAATAATAGGTATTTGTTTTACCGTATAGTAATTGCGACATGATACGTTATTCTACTCAACGGATTTATTATGTAATATGATTTATTTTGTTTGTAGTTCTGTTAAAATTAATTTATATTCATATTTATTTATTCATCCTTGTTACTAAGCGAAGGTTGATAGTAGTAAAATTCATTATGAATTTAAAAACTCGTAGAAGGTATAATTTAATAAATTAAAAAGGCATGTGTGTCCCTTAATAAATTTTGTCTTTTATGAATGCCAAGTATGCTTAATAGTATAGCGAAATAAAATGAGATTTTAACAAGTAAAAAATAAGTAATTCGCTTATTTTATGTAAATATTTTACATAAACAATTAAATAGAAACCAAAACCTTTAAAAGTATTCCAGTTAGTTACTTATACATCTTATATTAATGAAACATTTAAGACCCATTTTCATTATATTAAGTAATTTGAACTTACTGATATAATTCAAATTAAATATTAAAGGTCAAACTAAATGACAAAAAATAATACCCATTGTAGTTATTTTTTACGTCAATCTTTCTGGTGAAATTTTTTACAATTTTTACCATAGAGATGAGCATGCTTTGAGCGTAAAGGTAAGTACTCCTTAGTGCTAACGACTGCATTTTGTTCTTCAATCTTTCTTCCTGCACGTGCTGAACATCTTTTTTAAATCTTCACTTTTTACGCGTACATTATGTCGCATTTTAATGAGAGGTTCATGGAAATAATTATTATGAAATTCTTTAAATATCTATGTGTTACCTTTGCGTTCTTTTAAATATTCTTCCATGAAATACATTTCTAAACCCGTATACAATTCCTTCTTTGATATATTTTCTTAGTTCATTGGTAATATGCAACTGCTGAGTCTCAATCGGATTCTTATTGTCATAATCTAGTATTGGCTAACATATAACTACTTAATACTTATATTTTAAAGTATAATAACAAAATTATATAGTTCATAATCGTTATATATGATATAAGAGTGATCTTTTCATATATTTCAATATCTTCTAATTATAAAAATTTACTGCCACTTTTTGTATTAATAAATTGCAAGTTACGTTAAGTACATGTAAACAGCTAATCCTCTGTAAAATATTTATTTAAGTATTAAAAAATATTTATTCTGTCTATATCTAAGAATATTAAACAATGTGAAAAAATATACTTACATTAACAATTATGTCCTTATGATTAAGGAATTGATTTTAACTGCATAATTTAAAAATGATTTATGTGAAATATGAATGTGAATCTTAAGAAGATATATAAATTCTTTAAAACAATAAAATAAAATGATTATTAAGACAGTTTCAAATATTGTTGAAAAATTTCAATGTAAATATCAATAGCATGCATTGGATTATAATCAATAAATATAGCTACAACGATTTACTTATGCTAGACCATCTGCTACGCTCAACACTAAACCAGATGAATTTGGACCATCTCAGCTTTAGGTTAATGAATATTTCTATATGGACTTGACCTCATTTCGTACTTCTCAACAACTATTCAACGATGCTGTGGTCTATCGATTTTGTACTTTGATTGTATTCTAACTTAGAGGACTATTCTAGACTTACCCGTTCACACCGGATATATGAACTCCATTGTAAACTACATGGTCAGGTAAAATAATACAACGATACCTTCCGTTTTCATAAAAATATAGCTTGTTAAAACATAGCTAAAAAAGTCAGTAATTTTATCACCAAGTATAATTAGATTAGATGACACAACGGAAAGTAAAGACACAAAAGGTCAGAGTACATTTTGAAAGTATACACTTAATTAAATTTGAATAAAACGCTAAAACAAAAGCGGATGAAAAATACTTTGTTACGGTCATCATTTTTATCGGTTCCGTAGAAAAGAATTTAATTATCTAAACTGGATAATTATTCATTCAGTGTTAATTAACTTTTGTCATTAAGATGAAAATAGCTCGTTTGCCTAATTTTGCGCAACAACCCAAAGTCTTTTATGGGATGGAATTATCAAAAGACACAAAAATTTATAAAGATAACAGAATTTTAGGTAAACGTTTGATAAGATAATAATGAGTATCTTTAAGATAAAATAGTTAAAAAAGTTATTACACGTGAAACTGGTACTCAATCTCCGATATACATATGTATGTATATACATATGTATTTATCTATGGTTGTTCTTGGAATTGTATCGTTTGGGTATCATTGAAAGGATCTTTTAAAGAAATTCATTATGTGAACCGCTTTAGCCTAAAGCTCCACATTGACAACTACACAAATAATTACGTAGCAGAATTTAGATTGCAATGGCTCAAAGGTATTAAGATCAAATAGCATTCATTTGATCTTAATCTCTTGGGTGAAGCCATAATACATTGGCTCGGATTAATTAATAAGTAACTAAGGTAATAAACACGAACGGGAATTAAGCTGCGCTCTGGGGTTAAAGCTCTGGAGAAACTTAAATACATATTAAGGTAACTCGTGATAAATTGAGACGTGCCTTTGAAATGATATTTATTACATTATAATAAATAAATTTAAACCCATACCATTATGTAGAATAAAGTTCAGGAGAGGATTCGGTTAATTGAATCTGTCTCTGAAAAGTGGAAACCTCTTTAACGTATCACGTTTCAGAGAAAGAGGGGTTTCGAATTTAAAATAGCGTATCCGATATAACTGAACGAAGGGAGATTAAAAAAATGTCATGCACAATAAAATCTAGCGGGATTATTTTTGACAAAACATTATTGAAAACGTTTAAAAGAATTATTCAGATCTATCGAATGATATACAAACAGTATGTCTGTTATTACGAAAGTCATAAAAATGCAGGTGCAGTGAAATTGCCTTAGTAAACTGCTTCCATGTTACGATCACACGTACGTTTTTTATTCTAGACAATTTTACTCGGACTTCTATCCTCGTTAACAATTTGGATGAAAGCCAGTGAACTACTGCCAAATTTTGTATTGATATACGTAAAATTAGGAAAAAATAACATTATTGAAACAATTATAGCGAACGTTAGAGCTTTATTAATATTTATTGGTGTATTGTCCCATTATGCGTCCAGGTTCATGTTTATAGAGTGGATTTTTTTGCGATGTGTCTTATTTATATCACAGAAATAACATTAGGATAAAAATAGAACTCGATTAAAGCTGCCGAGGTTTTCTTGGGCTATTACAACATAAAATTTTGCGTGTGTTTATAGATAGGAGTAAATATACCAACCAACAATCGTAGCCAGGATGATGAGAGCGAGGACCACGGATGTGACCGCCATGAGGACGAGCGACGTAACGTCGGAGGAGGTCGCGTTATTACTCGTGCTGTTAGTGCCGTTACAGCCCCAGGAAACCGCATCCACCCACGAGCAGTTGCCCTCAAACCACTCGGTGGGAGGGTATGTAACGTCATCTGAAGAAGCAATAGATAAACATATGATTAATCTGTATTAAATTATCTACACTTTAGAACATAAGAACAAAATAAATTAATATTATATTGTAATGAAAGTACAATTTAATTGAAAATTTCTCACAACAAATTGCAGCATTTACACACAATTTTCTATTTCAACATAACGTCTGAACACGATGACCTCTAGAAATGCAATGCAAATACTGATGCTAAAAAGCTATTTCCTATCTCCAGCTGCATTCCTTTCTACACTGTAGTAATATAATAAACCTGAAGAATCCAATAAATTATTCAATTTGTACTCTAAAGTATTTAACTTAGAATTATATCCACGTTTTTATATAAAAAGAGTCTTAACAGAAATTTATTTGTCTTAATTTGCATTATGTACCTATTTTTTTAGGAATTAAATGTTACTGATATATTTTTACAATGATTTGTTGAGAAAACTGTTTATGATAGAAATAGTAGAGATGTAATAGATTGATCTGAATAATTTTCAGCAACAAGTGACGCCTACGGTTCGAATACATTATAAGAGGACTGTTTTTGAAATTCATCGTGATTTGATATAAAAAAACGTAGAAACAGTATACTAAATTATATTAATAAGGTGAGTTATATAATTAAAGGTTTTAAAATATTATGTGTAATGAAATAATTATCATGTTTTGATGATTGAACTTCAGAATTATATTACATAAAATATGTATCTTTTCCCTATATGTAACCATATATATGTATGTGTGTATATATAAATAAATATATATATATATATATATATACAGATTGACTTTTTTAGAACATGTAAATACATTTTTATATTCGTACTAAGCCTTAATTCTAAATGTATATACATACAATTAAGCCACCACGACTCTCTTTTACATTTACTTTGACATAAAATTTGTTTTTATATAAAATATAGACCACGGACATAGTAGTGACAACTACGACAGAATGTAAAACAGATCTGAGGAATAAGGTGGCGATCGTGAAAGGACCAGAATCCACACAATTACATCAGTCAGCGCGAATAGAACAAAACAGAAGGGAGAGTGTCGAAGACTAATAATCGACGAGGCACTTATGAACCACTTTGGCTCCATAGTGAGAGAGAGGCATGCCGAGCACCCGTCTGCGGATCCCACTACTCTCCATCATCAAGAACCTAACACAACAAAGATCATGACGTCTTATACTCGGCTCAAATTACGAGGAAGCTGTTCAGATGCATCCTCTACACGACTTTATCAGTCATGGCAAAATCCGAGAAATCGTTTGGCGGCGTGATTTTATCTGAAGGGTGGTAATTTTACCGGCAGCCGATGTTATGGTCTCCCACCGAACACAAAGGCCTCCCATCGAGCTCAATGGCCTCCCACAGAGCAAATGGCTTTTGCAATTTATTCTTAACGAATTCTATAAGTCATAAGATTAGTCGTTTCTACAACATCTCTGGAATGTGATAATGGCACAAATGACTAAATAGGTAACCAAAACAAAGCAAAGACCCAAAAAAAATCTTATAGAACTTTACTTGAAACATACAACAAGCGCTTAAAAGTATCCAAGTTTAATTTAAATTTGGGGTTAATTAATCATGTAATATATTTTTACGATATCGTTATTGTGGATTGATGTAATTTTCAAATACAGATGATGAAATAATGATGAAAATAAATGAAGTTGGTTAGAAAAGGCAACCAAATTTCTAGATGTGAGAGTTTTTATTTGCGTATATATATATATATTATATATAAATTTTTGCAGTTATTAGCACTAAAATCTTTAAGATCATTGACATCAATTGATAATTAAAATCATATATAACAATCCGTTAATTAATATCATTACCTTATCTACCCTTCTTTTAATAATTACTTGAAAGCACGCGAAATGAATTACTTGAGAGATGTGTTTAATTTACATTAAATGTTCAACAAATCTTAATGTTCACCTTTAAATCAATTAAGCAGTCTCCACTCAGAGTTAAGCAGTCGCAGCTCTTTCAGTTTATTACCTCATAATCGCATCTAAATGAGGCAGTTAAATTCAACCTACAGGTTTATTATTAAACAAACTGAGAGCTTTATATGTCCATAATACATTAATATACTTTAAGTCCTTTTAGTTTTATTGTTTTCATATAGCTGAAATGCTTTTATTTGTGATGTAATAAAATATGTTAAAAACCTCATTATTATCATACTAAGACATAGGTAAATGAAATGAACGTGTTAATATATGTATACTTTTAATATTGTTAAGTTTATTCTCGAAAACAATGAAAACGCGAAAACACAATTACTCAAATAAATTGAAGACAGCTTTATATAGATATTAGAACGTTCAATTATATGTTGACGTAATATTTGTAATTCGTACATTATTTTTTATATACGTAGAAGTATTAATATTATATTTATTATAAACATATAAGTTCATAAAATTTTTCATTAAATAAAGTTATTTTTGTTTTATTGAACCTTTGGACGATTCATTAATTATTATTTTAATTTAACATTTAAACTGAATATAATTCAAGTTTTAAAATTAATAAGGTTTCTATGAGTTCTTTCTTAATTAATTCGACAAACCTATTATTTCAAGTTGTTAGGAACGGTTTTGCAATTCAAACGACAAGCAGTTTTAAAAATCAGTCACAGTACTCTGGTAATTATAGGTATCCTTTTCTGTAGGAGCACTAATTACTTTCCCAACGGCTGGATGTGAATGTGTCGAACGTTAGTGCTGCCGCCTGCTTGTTACAGTTCGATGAAACCAACAAAGAGACGATCGACGAAACATTTCTAAACTACCAACTTCAATACTTTAAAATATATTGACAGTTTACTAAAATTAATACGTTGAGACCAAAAAATTTATAAACATTTATTGCATTACTTCTAACTAAATATTGTGGCTAAGTATCATTTTCATTATTAAAAGAATCTTAGTTATTTTAAACTCATTGTTTATATATATTATAATTACCCATATTATACACTTACTCACAAAATAAAGCAAAGCTGAAGTATCTTAAAAAGAAATCTTTCAGAGGCTACTAATTTCTAGACAAGGTATAAGTTAATTTAACTTAATCCGAAATCGTGAAATATCTCCTCTGTAATCTCACACTTTACTGTTAATTGCTTTCATTTTGCTCTGTCATTATAGACTTCGATCAAGAAGTAACGTCCCTTTACTTACTATGAGTCGTAATGTTCCTTTTTTACGAAGCGGTTTTAAAAGTACCTCCATTATGTAAATACTCTTTTATATAAAAAATTCATTAATTTTTACTTTTCTGTATTCAAAGTAGGTTAATTTCCACATTCACATGTATATTTTGTTTCAATAGAAAAAGGATCAAATAAAGGATGTAATGTTTACCACCTTTTTGAATGTAATCCGTTGCCCTCTATTTTATTTCATACAATGTGTACCTAAGTATATTAAGAATTAAGCAAATAATTTGATAAAATAGATGAAGTTATGTAACTGTAATTTTTTGTTTATATATATAGTTCTATATAGTTCTTTTCATAAATAATTAAAACAGGACTAATAAATAATTATTATTTGAATTTGAGAAATCGTTGCAGTATCTGAGACCGTAGTTAGGTGGTAAAGAGTTAAAAAGAACCTACTAGGGCTACCTTCAAAGTACGTACAAAAAATGAACTGATCTTAGTTCTGGACAGGCCCAACTTTTATTAGAGGGATTTGGCTCTTCATTATTATGAAGTTAAATAGTAAGGTTTAAATTACATCACGTCTCTTTTACATGACAAAGCAAAGTTAATGTGTCACGTATATAAACCTACCCCTGGAGTCATTGAACCCGAGTGTGCGCGACGCATTCATGGTGTCGCCTGCCGCTCGTCCTCCTGTAACAATTTAATTTATCAATTTGTATTTAATAATGATAAAAATAATTACATTCGACATATTTTTAATTGTTTAAGGTATATTCTTGATATCGATGTGTAATTTTATACTTTATGTTATTTAACTTTTATATCATTTTTATATTTTGATCTTAATGACTTAAAAAGTTATTTAAAATCGATGATTAAAAAAATAACAAGAGCTTCTGAGTTAATAAAAGAAATAGGAAATTATATGCTATCCAACAAAAGGTATATATGAAATATATTTATATAAAAAGTAGTAATAGCTATAGTCAAAACTAAGCTTTATAAATGTTTTTAAATTTTATTGAGTAAAGGAAAAATCTCGTATGAAAACAAACAAGTTGTCATTTGATATCTAGTTTCAATATCACATTACCATTAAAACCTCCATGAGATTGAAAGAGCTCTCAGGCATAACATTTTTTATTGAACAATTTTAAAATAAAATAGTAGAATAAAGTTATAAAAATGCACCTTTTATGTTGATTGTAAAGTGAAGCTTCAGCAGAATTTGTTTTTGCAAATGTTTCTAAATACTTACTGTTTCTAAATGAATATATTTAATAGTATCTTTTATAGCGTTGTCCTCGATTTTTTGACAACCAAGAGAAGAGATATCATATTAACATAGCATCTCTTTTTCGTGGATGGTTGACTTTTAGAAGTTATGTAAGATGTGGTGAAATATTTAAGAATAACTTAATATACCAAAAGATTTGACACAAAATTCTGGATCTGTTCCGTTATTGCCGACTTGTTTGATTACCAGATGTTTTGCCAAAAATAAATCTAGAAATGAAAGACCTAGAATTATTAATTTACCATTGAAATAAAATTTATTGTACCAGTGGCGGCATTCAAAATTGACTTAGGTTCTCTATATTCTAACTATGAGTTCTGCTTTACTTTTAATAGTTATGTCCCTTTTATGGTCGAGTTATACAATCATTGTCGAGGTACGTAACTCCCCTTTTATAAACCTTTAATTTTTTATATTAACTAAAAGACCTCCACTTGAGCGAGCCAAGAATTAACTGTACTGCAATTGTCCAACTCTTTCATACCAATTTTATATATAACACAATGAGTTTAGCAGTGGCCTAAAGACAATTATTAAACACAATATTTTAAATTCTGTTCGCACCATTAGATTTTTTAGCTCGAAAACAGAGCCGAAAAAAGTCAAATTTAAGAGTCGAATTTCACAGAACTGAAATATACTCTCAATTTTGAATTTGTTTGCTACTCTTTTTCAACGTGTGAAATAAAGCACAAGAAATGAAACGTTAAAGATAACAACATTTTAAAAACATATTATTAATATACTCAATAAAGAACAAATTTACAGAAGTTGTATCTGGATTATACGCCGTAATACATATACAGATGAGACGAAAGAAAATAAGAAAATCTTTCTTTTAGTGAGTGCCTCAATTTCTAGTCTACTCTCGTAGGAACTAGGCATGAGTTAGTATTTGTGCCATTTTAGCACCTTTAATAATGATGACAAAAAATATATGCATTCCCATATGATTGTATTTTCAAAACAAACGTTTCACAAAAAATTGAAAATTGACTTGTTTTAAATACTGAAATGAAAACAAAAGAAAGGGAAATAGAAGTATCAAGATTTGTAAGCTCAAAAGGCGTTTGATATTAAATTGAAGAGAAAATCAAATGGCTTCTTTTGTTCTCTAAATAGTCGATAATTAAGATTCTAATTTCTTTTATCTATTAATTACCGATAACTTAAAAAACGTTGAAGTCTATTATAATTTATAGTCATAACCGCGTCTATATGTACATATATAAATTAATATACATTTATATGAATACTTATTCATTTTGGAATAGTTAATCTCTAAAAACAATTTAATGTAATATTTGAAAAATAATAATTGAAGTGGGTAAGTATGTAAAATTTGTCTTTAACAGAAAATGCCTTCTCGGTTATTTCTCCATGCAACTATCACAACATGGTTCATAAAAAAAAATCATCCTTCGATTAATACTGCATATTATAAAAGGCAGTATTTACGAATAATATTACAGACACAAACATGCGTTCGTTTCTAAATGTTTAATAAATAAAATATTTTCCGCTGAAATTTTAAATGTATTTGAACTTACATATATAAAATTATGTTGCAATGGCAATTTAGCGATGGCGTATCAGGACTCGTATTTAAAAAATTGGACATAGATTAAATTAGTGTCCATTTTTTAAAATAAAAATTAAACTAGTGTTAAATTTTATTCATAGCAGATAAGTTTCAGATGCTTTACAATATAGCATCTTATTATGGCAAGGTGAAGATGGGTATCTAATTTTTTAATGAAGATGATAAATCCTGTTACAGGTAATTAAATAAACATTTTAAGTTTTTAATGTTTACCATAGCTTTAAGTAGTTTATATAATTTTATCACAAAAAAATGTTTTTTATATATCTTCTGAAACTAACAAAAAAGTTACTTCAATGAATTATTATTCATATAGGCTTATAGTTGGAGAAGTTGAGGTCAATCACTTCTTAAAATGTTGGCATCTCTTTCACCAATCTGCTGTCGATACATATGTAAAAGTAGAAACTGAGTGATTAACGTTTATCAGGTTGAACCAGGCAAAACTCCGTTAAGAGGAATAAGGATATTAGCTTCATTCAGATAAAAACGTAACAGATATTTCTTGATTATAGAGCGATACGAAGTTCACCGAGTCTGCTAGTAAACTAATAAATAAATGAAAAATAATGCGTCATATTATATATAAAAACTGTTGATGTGAGCGAAAATCTTTGTCTACGAATAATAGTGTGATTTGATGATTTAAACTTCTATTACTTAGATAAAAAGATTCATAATCGATTGAATGACCTCTACATTTTTAAACTCCTTAAGATATTAGTCTCGTTGTTATAATATACATTCTTTTCTTCATATAGCTATAATATAATATGCAAAAATTTATGTGACATTATTCTATTTCTTAATAAACACTTACATATTTTCAAACGGTTCAATGTAATTGTAATTATCTGAAACTATATAATAGTATGTAATTAATAATACTAAGTAACATATAAGTAAATTTGCTTGAAATTATTTGAATTGAAGTTAGACAACTAGCAGTAGCTATGAGATCCCGAGTCGTTCATTTCATCTTAATAGCGTTATTAAGTCTTTAGGTATCCTTTAGTGGGTGAGTGCCGATAATCAAATCAATTTTCGTACCACAAACTAGAATTGTATTATGTTATATGAGGATCAAATCTCTATTAAGTAATTCATATCTCTGTCTTACCACAGTACATATATTTTTACTCGTAATTATTTTTAAATAATAGTGATAAACACAGAAGAAGAAGAAGTGATAAACACAATCTTTGACACATCCCTTTTCTATCATTCTTTTCTTCCTCAGAAGGAGAATAAAACCTAATTTCATATATTCATTTTCTACATCTATTTCATTTCAATTAAAATCATTTATTGTCTACTATGCTAATATGCAAGCTATATACGCCCAAATATAATCACAGATAAAAGTAAAATTATATTCTGCACGCTTCAGTTGGCTTTATAAAATATTTCATACATGAAGTATCGAAAAAACAATATTCCATATTTCAAGACGTACTGGAGATATAAAACCTTTCTCCAATATGTATTCAGGATAGAACGTCAAAAAATATACATAGATATATGCATAGATCTGTAGTGGGTGGAACAATGAATAAATAAATTTTGAGTACATGAATACAACGCAATAGTTGATTTATATGTGCTACAATTAGTTATTGCAAAAACGATCTCATAATACTATATTTTCGGCACTTTAAATTATTTTTTTAACACTTAGCATACTTATTTATCTTAGGGATCCGCTGCTACTTTTAAGTAATTTTGTTGATTACATATATTTTATTTAAATTTTCTATGTGATATAATATTAAATCAATTGAATATTGTCCTGAAGATATACATATATATTAATTCGATACATATTATATTATTTACAAGAAATTTCGTAAAAATGTATTATGAAAATGATATAAATTTATCAAAGATATTAATTTTGAACTTAAACATTACGCATTGGGACGAAAAGATAAAAACAATAACAAATATGAACCCAAAATGGACCAATCCTATATTAAACTTGTTAGGGAAAAAATATGAGACTAAAATTTTTTAAAGTTACAAACTGATTTAACATTTTATCTTACCAGATTAACTGTCAGTACCCATCATGAAACGTATCACTTTGGATCATTTTAGCATTATCGCCAATTCGTATTCCGATTTTTAACAAGACTTTTAACAAAGGTAAGAAATCCTGAGGAAACGACTTGAACTCTAATTGAACCAATTCTGAAAATCAATGCTATAAATTCTTAACGGTGGAAAATTTCTCTCGAAAAATTTGAAATCTGTTCAAACTTTATCGATTTCAAGGTCTTACTGAAGTAATCGTGTCCTTCTCATTAAGCGTTCTCTTTGTTTTATTACCTATAATTGTAATTTTTATCGACAGTTTTTTTTTAAAGATTTTATTGTAATTCGTCACAAAATAAATAAAATATATCAATAAGTAAAAACCGTCGTTAATCTTTAAGTAGAATGAAAAATATTTATACTGAGATGTTGAACATTATGATTTTAAAGATAAAAATGAAGACTAAGATAACTTAGAATTTAAAGAATATTTTATCTTTCGAAATATAAAATAATATCTAAAAACATTCATCCTGATTTTCCGAGAATGATTGGAATGTCCAGAAATGTAAGTATGGCAACGTGAGTCATCATAAGGGTTGATTAATAAATTACGATGAAAAGCACTTTTGAATCCAAGATATATAACCATGATACTTACGTTATGTAACTCTTAATTTAAAAAAATAACCATGCCCCATAAATTATACATAAAAATAAAGCAGATATAGTT